ATATCATTTCAGCGCATCCGTGGATCATTGTTCTTTTAGGTGTGGCTGTTTATGTTCAAGCTCATGAATTGGCTGATTTCTTATTCGGCCACCGTGCTCCAATCTTAATTTCATCACGAGTCTTAACTTTTTGTGGCCGTGACAATGCATGATGATGATGTTTCTTTCTTGTGGTTGTTAGATCATTACATGTTCGGGCTATAATCCTCCTTACTATCTGTTCTTGAATTTCTCAATTACATCCCGGACTTTGCGCTACCACGGCCGAATGATGGTAGATTTGATGCAGACTGATGTTGCGTCCTTTAGTTTATCTTTTTAAGTATTCTGTCCCATTTTTCTTGCATTTCTTTTATTTTTCCGCATCAATCTCTCTTCACGTTGTTTCTGCATCAATTCCTTTCCAATCAATTTTATACAATACTTTCTCATCGAACACTTTTAGCTGTATGATGTCCGTTCCGGTGGCACAACCATCCATGGGCTGCTGTTGATCTCGGTGTCTCTGGCGCTGATCATCATGTCCATGCACATCAGTATGCTGACACTGGCTCCACAATATGTGATGTTCGGTAGCCAGACATATATCAATGTAAGTATCATTTTTGGTTGTGAATATTGGTTCACAGAAATGTAGTACTATTATGGCAATAGAAAAAAAATGGTTGTGTGCAGTCGTAGAACAAATTAAAACCAGTATATCCATGCACTTTAGCATGTTTCCGCTAGCACGACGACGCGTTATGTTTGGCCGCCGAAATAATGACAATATTATATTATTTTCTCAGCCATGAAGATAGATGCAAACGGTCAGGATACTAGAGTCTGAATACGTTGTGTGATGACCATATTAACACTTGGTTCACTACTTATGTTGCTCTGATTGATAACTAACCCATTTTGCAACATTATTTACGACAGAACGGGACCATCGTGCCCTGTGAAACCTCTCCTCACGATGGTGGAGTGTGCACTATCACACGCGCGGCAGCTTTCTCGCAGCGGTTGTCCTACAACTACCCGGTGTTTGGCGCTGTCGTATTTGGCATGAACTGGCTGTTTCTATTTATAGTTGCGCTGGCCACACCAGTGGTGATCATTGTACAGCGACGACCGACTCTAAAACGTGAGTGACTATATTCATATTCGATACATTTGATATGTCACGTGTGGTTTTATTGGGTGTGATCGTCTTCGGCAAGAAAAGGCAGTTTCTATTTGTAGTCGCTCTGCAGATGCCTGTGGCGATTGTGTAGTGATGTCCGGCCTTAGATGCCAAATATGTGAGCATTACAACACAAAGTTGGAACAAATCAATACTAGTTTGGCGTGCGTTTCCAACGAAGTTGTACTGTCAATGGTATGCGAGTATACTAGGACGATATCGAGGCCGATCCCCGCTCTTAGGAGTAGCCATATTTGGCAAAAGGCTGGCTGTCTTTATGTCAAGCAATGCATGTAGTGATTGTGTTGCTGTGACGTCCATCTCTAAGTTGACTGTATAAAGATGCTCTTTATTGGGACGAGGAAGCGGGCTTTTAAGCCTCAGAAACTAGCCTCGGGCGTCATGATAATTATTAGCTTCGAACCCTAAGCATACATGCGACTATGATGGAGAACACGTGTATTGCTGACGTTTGTATGGACTCTCCAGAAAATTCAATTTTGAATATAGAAAAGTCATAGATTTCGTTCTTGTCCAACTTCACCCCTTCTATTATATTTATATCGAAATTATGGAACCCCAACAGAATGTCTAGTCTACTATAGCCGTTGGAAAAGAAAAATATATATTCCGAGAAAACAAATATAGCTCATCTGATCATACCGTCCAAACGTTTGAGCAGATGATCTTGGCGGTGTAATGGGCATGGCTGGAACAGATAGGACGAACAACAGGAGTGCCAGCGCTCGAGACAGGGATAATCGACCACTTACAGCTGGCATTGGATTGGACGACGGAGATGACGATAGTGACTATGACGATTTTGACGACTATAACGAAATGGAGAGCTTGTGAGAAATAAGAGTGAGCGTAAGTATATATGTACACATATAAGAATATATAT